ATACACAGTCATGGCCTTTACACAGGCATTTACACAGCCTCTCAGGTGTGGGCTATACACAGTCATGGCCTTTACACAGGCATTTACACAGCCTCGCAGCTCTTCCTTTCAGCCCCCGACTCCCCGTGACATTAGGCTGAGTGCCTTATTGGCCCTGTGACTCTAACCTTGGCATGGAATCTCAGGAGATCTATCATCTAAGTTCCTCAAAACCTTAAGTGATGCATTAATGGGGTAATAAAATGTGATGATTTCTGTAACATTTCATTTCTTTTGTGGCTGAGGGAGGGGGGGGGTGGAGCTGTTTCTGGTATATATTTATAAAAATTAATTTGATGAAGAGCATCTGTCACATTCCTTAGTGCGTGTGAAAGTTATTCTCTGAACATTGTAGTATTAGAAAGTAGATTAGAAATTGATTTGGAATTGATTGGGAAAGGATTACTTAGTGAGGTTATTTAAACACTACCAGAGTCATAGCCATTTTCTGGATTCCCTGGTCATCAGTGATCTGATCACTGGTTAGTAATCAAGTCTAAGAAGAGGCACTGAAAACTCAATGAGCTGTTTTTGTGATACTAACCTCTGTTTCTCATCCACAGTCTCCATCTGCTGCTGTCTGTTCATGCTCTTCCTCTTCCTGTCGGAGCTCACGGGATTCATCGCCACGGAGATGTGGGTACTGCAGGAATCGACTCCGCTCATACGTCTGTATTTTTCATATCAAAGTGACAGTTCAGGCACTGATATTTGAATTGGATATCCTTTATGCTCTGGGTTTCTGGAAAGTGTACTAATATTGCTTTTTGTGCATTTAAATTTGAGGTACATGCCATAATATGAATTTGAGTAGGAATATGGATTAACTTCATTAATTGTTTCAGCGTTTTGGCAAACTTTCAGTTAACCAGGAGATTTTTATATGTTTGGTTTGTTTGGAAGGAAAGCTAATGAGGTTTCAAGGTGGCTAAGGAGATATAGTCATAGCTAATGTTGAAATCAACCTGAACAGAGTCAGTATATTAAATGGGGTACCAAAGGTTAGTAAACACTCCTCTAGTACTGCAGGGTGCAGCTATGTATTATTTCTGAGTGATAACAATCCTGTCTAGCTGCATATGTAAATAACACCTCATTTGGTATAGATATTGATTTGGAAGAGTGAGCCCACACTCTGAAACTTTGAGTGAGGATAAGATGTTTATAAGAAACATAGCTAAGTTAAGTCTACCACCGCAAATGGTTTCTATTTCTGTGCTGTCTCTGGCGTGAAACAAATATTTAAGTTTGGTAGCTCTGGAAACAAAGTAGAATTATTTGGTTCACTTGCTTCAGTTGTTACTGTTGTTCTAGATATGTACAACTTTGCTATGTGCTAAACAACGTGTGTATATATATTTAGGACATTTTTAACTTTATGGTAAGGGGGAGAACCGGATTCTGGGGCTTGTTTACTCTGGTTTTAAAAAAAGCAACAGGAAATTAATCTCACATGTACATGATCTCTCCACTTTGACGTCGCTGTGGATCAGGTAACTTGTGAGGTCATGCGCCGGGCTGGATTGTTTTATTTTGACCTCAGGTTATTGATTTCACGCAATCACTGGAATAGCGTTAGTAAATTAGAGAGAGAGGAAGAAATGAAAGGGTTCTTGCTTAATAGAGGTATAGGTCTCAAAGGTCATGACAAGGATGACGCAGATTAAGAAATCCTCTTTCAACTGGGATTGTAGCAAGACGGCAGTTTCTCAATTGACTGATGTTCTCATAGATTTCCTTTGAGATGTTTGTATATTCAGTATCAGTACTACTGATTAGTAATGCCTGAGTTTAGGGATTCCAATGATATTAATAGTAAAATTATATATAGCCGGGGATTGACATAACTAATACACAAGTACACATTCACCTTTAAAAGCGATATGTACGACAATCGATTGTTGTAGCAGCGTGAATGCATACTTACATACCAGTTATGTCAGTCCCTGTATATAGCTATCATTCACAGTATTTATAAATAGAAATCTAGAATGATTTCTCTTTTAGCATACTGGGCTTTTGATGCACATGCATGTACATTTTGAGAACCAGTAGTTTTGAATACCATGTCCAGAAGTGGAAAGTTCCAATCCAGACCAATCAGTTGAGTATAGTCACATTCAAAGGGTAATACAAATGCTAATATAAAATGGCTCTCTTTCTCTTTAAAGAAGAACAAAATCTCAGACATCCTGTTACAAATGACACAAACATGGGTGAAGTATCAGTACTGGTTCAAGATGATTTCTTGTCAGGCTGTGACCACAGATACAGGGCAGCAGTGCAGCACAGTGTGTTTTGCAAAATGGTACAGCCCCATTACTTGGTTTCCATAAATGTGTTGATGAAAGGACACTGTTTTCCTTTTGTCTGTTCTGTTGGGCCAGTTCTCCTTTTAGTTACTCTGTCTGAAAGTTAGCATAGCTTTGGCCTGTCCTGCTCATGAAATACCCCAGCAAACAAGAACAAGCATCGTGATGAACTACATACGTAACTGATTAAATGCTTCCTGTTAACCAATGTCGTAGCAGCACTGGTTATGAAATCTGTGATGCTCTAGCTCCCTATGGGACTATGCCATTCTCTATATAAGTCCAGGTTAGCTTTTTCTGCTTGTTGCCGTACTCTGACATCTATCTAGGATGTGAGGGCTGTCCTCCATTGAAATACAGTCAGATGTTCCGGCACGCATTGAGTAAGACATTTATCACCTGAAGCATTTCATTTGAGTGATATAATGACGTCTTGCAGCATATCTTTCATACCACTTCATCTAAAACAGCTGCTCTGCCTCTGATCAGTTGTGGGATTGCAGTATTTGGTTTTAGAGCATTAGCTTAATTCTAGGGTTATATAACACAATACTCTCAGTCGCAAAACATATTTTGAGGCCAGCTCATTCTCTAGTGAAATTCTCTTGCTCAGTATGTTGCTATTTCAGCTTCCATTCATTTGTTTTTTATTATAAATATATATTAAGAACAGGTATGTCACTGAAGAATGAATGTTCCTCGTGAATTTAAGTACATCTCTATAAACAACAAAAACTGTTTTTTTCGATGATGCCCTTGTTGCTGAGCCTTGTTGTGCCCTTCGATACCATGTTTTACGGTCACTGCCCTTCGATACCATGTTTTACGGTCACTTTCCCCCTTTTGACAGAGTCAATGAGCTCTATGTGGATGACTCTGATAAAGACAGTGGAGGGAAGATAGATGTGAGTTTAAACATCAGTTTGCCAAACTTGAACTGTGATCGTGAGTATTTTTAAATATTTCTTGCTGTTCTTCCAGTTACTGCTTTGTCTTGTACTACTGTGACTAATAATGAAGTTTATTTTTGGTATTTCCCCCATTACTTGTGGTAGGAGTGTGTGCTTTTTATTCCTGGGAGCCAGTACAATTTCCTTAATATTCTGTTTATTGTAACTTCTTAATGATATATTTATATTTAATGATATTATTTAATTCTGCTTCTTTCATGGTGTCCTTCCAGATGGTATTCCTTTATATCTATGTCCTATGGATGTCAGTAGATGTCTATAATGTAACGTCTTAAGTTTGTTCATTACTGTACCCCCCCCCCCCCCCCCCCCCCCCCCCCCCCCCCGAGTGCACCCCTGAATGCCGGCACAGGCAGGCGCCTGATACCCTCACCCTCCCGAATTCAGAGCTGTTGCTCTTTCACTCGTTACGCACTTTAGTCCGGCTCCAAACATGACAAAATGTGCAAAAATGCAAAGTATGTCGAAAGTGGTTTGTGACTTCTAGCTTGGACTTCAGGCGTAATGTAAACAGTATTTGGTATCTTGACTCACAGCTGTAAAGCGTTTGTCATCAATCTTGCCCCAAAAAAGGAGTGTTCTGCCTGAAACCGTTATTTTGTGTGTTTGTGTTGCTTTCTAATGCTGGCTCCTCTTAAAAATTCCCTAAACCATTTTATTGTCTTAACATTTCCATGTCACTTCCTCTACAGAGACCAGTTATCCAATCTTTACTGTCAGGGTGATTTAGGGTGTTTTTCTTGGTCATCTGCAGTTTAACTTTTTATCTACTAAATCGTGCTGCTAGGCTTTGTATAGGGGGATCATCACAAATAAATCGGCAGCATTGCACAGCACCTGGCTCACAGTCAGATTTCATTGAATAATTTATCGCTCTGGACAGTTCACACGGTACTGTTGGTGAATAATTGTAGATCTGTCAAATTTTTATACTTCTCCATCACAGAAAGTTGTGAAATGAAATATTTCAGGTGAGTCATTGTTCACAGTTATAAGAATACCTTGTTTTCTGGAAAAAAAACTGTATGCTTTAGTTAGTCTTTGTCCCTTAAACACCACTTGAATAGTATTAGTAATGACCACATATCACTTTCTGCTTTACAAATTTCACAGAAAAAAAAACAAAACATTTTTATCGTCTTAGTGTTGTGACTGATATTTAAGTGTAGTTATGCCTTACTGCTTAAGAATAACACCCTGCTCAAATTTAGCTGACAGCAAAATAAACTCAGTTTTGTTAGCTGCGGTTTAGTGTAATACTTATGTTTCAGTACAAATATTTTACTGTAAAATACATGTGCAATAATAAAAACACATATTCTTTTTGAAGGACCTAATCTTATCATTTTAGGGATAACTAAGAAACCCAAACTACGCCCCTGGTCACATTCAGATTCTGTGCTTTTTGCGTGAGGATGATACCCTGCTCGTTAGACCATGCTGATGAGCGTCAGTGTTTGGTTGCTCATCTTATGTAAGCTTGGGAACTGATCCACACGTCCTTTGTGCGCTTTGTAGGCCAGAGGAAATCGTGTTGAAAGGGAAGTGGGTGCGGAGTCCTGGTGTTGAAGAGAGGCGGGGTTTCCTTCCTCTGTGAAGCAGGGGCTATCTAAGGGCTATCTATGGTCTGTGTCATGTATCCTGCCCCTCCACCAAACCACCAGCTAACATGGCAGCCCGCCTGACTGAGGTCTCCCAGTGCACTGCTATAGCCAGTGGACTGGTGCTTTGTGTTCAGTTTGTACAAAGTGATGTTGGGCCGTGTTGCCTACTTCAAAAACATGTTCGCTTTGTTGTGCCAGTTGTAACAAATGGAAGGAATGAAACTGTAGCTGGGACTTGAACAAAGCATAGTCTCGCATAGCGTAATGTTTATTCTTTGGGCTGTCGCAGTAGCTTCATTGTTGGGAATATCACCTGTGGCCTTGTCATCCATATGAGTCATGTGACCAGTCATGTGCTACGGTGACAGAAAAGTGATCTGACAGGAAAGGTGTTCCCAGTGCATGACCCTCGGTCATCCCCTTTCTCAGGGTGTTTTTTTAATACCAAGGACACAAAGATCACGCTTGTGGCCTTGACAAGAGCGGTCTTGCTCACTTGCCTCCCAAGAACATACTTGGGGTGCAATGAATTATGGGATTGCTCTCGTTTGGCAGGGGATGCAACCAATGTATCCCTGATATTTGGCGCGGGGCAAGAACGACATCCAGGGATTTTTACAGTCCTCTGTACTTTTGTACTTGGAACTGATTTTCGGCAATGAAGGCGACGTCAAACGGTCAAGCAGGCATATTGAGAGACGCGCCTGGTTTCTCCTTTTCAGTGGTGGGGCTGGACATCCAGGATGAGATGGGCCGCCACGAGGTGGGCCATATTGACAACTCCATGAAGGTGCCCTTGAACAACGGATACGGCTGTCGCTTTGAGGGGAAGTTCAGCATCAACAAAGTAAGGACTTTTCTTTTACCGCCCATCGGTGAGGCCGATGATGGAGTACTCGCATCATAAGCCAAAAAATATGATGTGGCCCGTGGAGATGAACGACAGAAGGATAAATCACAAGATTTCGCCGTGTCGGCTGAGATTCTTCTAGAGCATGGAAAAGCACTTGAGGAGAATTAGGCAGAAAAGTCCGACTCTAATGACATTTAAATTGCATCGGTTCCAATGCATGTGTGTAAAGTATATTTTCCCTCCAAGAATGGCATCTAAAAATAGTGACAACTAACCTCCGCTTCTGCTTCTGGCTACCTTAAGGTGCCAGGCAACTTCCACGTGTCGACGCACAGTGCCACGGCCCAGCCCCAGAACCCTGATATGACTCACACAATCCACAAGCTCTCCTTCGGCGAGAACCTTCAGGTCGGCGCTCAGTCCCAAGCTCACCCTTTTCTCATTTAATTCCAAGCAGCTTGGCTAACCTGTCTCTCTCACTTCTCCCTCCCCATCCAGGATGTTCAGGGGGCCTTCAATGCATTAGGAGGTGCTAGCAGACTTGAATCAAATCGTACGTACATAGTGACTTCTGTATTTCGAAGACATGACGGCTTTTAGAGGAGATTTTCAGTAATGCTTGAGGTGGTCTGATTTAAACATGTCTTTTATAACTGCTTGTGCTACGTCTGCTGTTTTGTCAGTGAGGAAAGCCTGGGTCTTGAGCTGTGTTACCATTATACAGTAGATATCATATCGGTCAAACATCTTGACCTAGGCCGTGCTTTCTTGTAAAGCAAACAATGAACGCTTCTTTGCGAGACGGCCCATTGTCCATTTCTGACTGCTGCGGAAGTTGACGTACGCCCTGAGCTCATCCCAGCAGCTGACCGAGAGCCGCTCGCTCGTCTTCTGCAGACCTTTGTGTGTTTTCCTCGTTGGGGCTCCTTGTATCGCGTGCCGGCATGTGCTCACTTAGCCCGTCATTAGCTCAGTGGGGACCCCTAGTGGACATTCTTTGAAGCCTCTGGAATTTTTGTGGTGAATGTAAGATATCGTGGTATGAGGTCCTGAATGCTCTGTTTGTGTTTGCAGCCTTGGCTTCCCATGACTACATATTAAAGATAGTGCCCACAGTGTATGAGGACATGAGGGGCAGGCAAAGATTCTCCTACCAGTACACAGTGGCCAACAAGGTGAGACCCTGTCTCTGCCTTCCGTGACTTCGCTGGCGTCGTCCATGAGAACGAGTCCTTTCTCGCACCGCATGCCGCCGTTCCCGTAGATGCCGCCGTTCCCGTAGATGCCGCCGTTCCCGTAGATGCCGCCGTTCCCGTAGATGCCGCCGTTCCCGTAGATGCCACCTGCTCCATAGCCCCATCCCTGATCTAATGAAAAGCCTGCACCTGTCACCGCTGCTTTTCCCAGAATCCTCGGAGGTGCATGCCTGAGTGGCGCCTGCGGTGCTGGTGCTCGTACGTCATGGACTGCCTGTTTGCCCCGCGCGTGTGGATGGCCACGTAGAACGCACGCCTAATTTAACCCTCCCCCCCCGCTCGGCAGGAATACGTGGCCTATAGCCACACGGGACGAATCATCCCGGCGATCTGGTTCCGCTACGATCTGAGCCCCATCACCGTTAAGTACACGGAGAGGAGGCAGCCCTTGTATCGCTTCATTACCACGGTGAGTAACCAAGGAGGTCTGCGAGAAAGGTGATAGGCCAGGGGGAGGGAGTACAAGACCTGTAACCAGTAACAAGGGTGGTGGAGTAAACTGTGGAGATACAGACATACTGTACAAACTGTGCCTGAATCAGCCCACTTTCAAAAACATGTACATCCTGCTTTACCTCTGATCAGGTCTGCCTTGCATAATTTCTTGTAAAATTACTTCAGCCGCCCCCTACATCCCCCCCCCCCCGTGATATCCAGCCTTACTCACTATTAGTTCCCCTGAGACAGTGGGTGTAAGAGGTTATTGAGTAATTCTGTGTATGTCATTATGGCACCCGTTTTGAGAAGGAATTCAACAGCAACATGTGTAGACTTTACGAAGGTCTTGGTAAATAATACATCACAGGGTCAAATTTTAGGTGCCGGCCGGAGGACTGTGGCCATCAACCAGTAGTTTTCTCTACGGTTGCTATGACCTCTCAAGTGTTTTGGTCTCGTAATGGGACATGAATACCGCGCTGCTTACTCCGGCTCCTTTTCACCATTGTGTGCAATTTCCGGCATCGTGCCTTGCATCGCTTCTGAAGGCATCCGGCTCTTTGTCCTGGAAGAAAGCGCATTGGGTCGAGTGAGCAGGTGTAGGTGCATTCTGAGGTCGATCTCCGATGTCATTTTCCCTATTCATCTCAACGTGGGCTATTCTCACTTGTGTTGCTTGCCATGGACGCGCATATCAGTGGGCTATGGTTAGGGGTCTTGGCAAGGGCAATCAAAGTTAAAGCTGCTTTCAGTTATTCAGGAGTGGTGTTTTTAAAATGGACCAGTACATATTTTAACCGAACCCCCCCCCCCCCCCGCAGATTTGCGCCATCATTGGTGGGACATTCACAGTGGCCGGCATTATCGACTCCTGCATTTTCACTGCCTCCGAGGCCTGGAAGAAGATTCAATTGGGGAAAATGTCATGAACGGGTTTGCGGGCAGCGCCCTTCAGCTCAAGAGTTTGCTCCTATTTACACCAACGGGACCTCATCAGAAAACGTCCAATGTTCATTTTTTTTAAAAAAAAAAACCTTTGTGATGGGGAGGGGGGGGCGGGGGAATTTTTCTATTCTTTCTTTTCTGTTATGACTTGGATTCTAAGTGTCAGATCCCCCACCCTTCATTTTGAGTGTGTTTGTGTACGTGTGAATTGTCTCTATTTGCTAAGGCAAATCAGCATTTTGACTTGTGATCTAGGCACAGAGAGCAGTGGAATCTCAGAGTGCCTCCCTATATGTCCATATACACTCCCTACCCAACCTACCGCGCCAGGTCTCCTTGACACAAACACTCTTGTTGCCTGTGCTGTAACTACTTGAATAATGAGTCTGAAAGAACAGCGTCTCTCACCACAATTGATCTCTGTGCCTTAAAAAAAAAAAATGCAAGTATGAGGCTTAGTCCATAAGAGCACATCAAATTGATGTTATAAGTGAAGGTAAAGAACCTAACCCTAACCCTACTTGGTCAAAGGTGGTTGAGGTGGTTTGTTTTTATTAATCTTTCACGGAAGATTTTTAGTGATGTACTTGTGATCTGTGTGTCAATAGGCAGGATAAGTTGAGTTGACCCTACCTGTGGCAATCATCGCCTTTCTCAACAATCGCTCGCTATCTGGAAAAATTATATTTAATAAGTTGTCTCATGGTTCTCTGGCTTGATGTGATTGTAAGGGTGGTTTCCCGTTCCTTAAAAAAAATACTTCTAGAGGCAGATAAAATTGAATTCTGGATCTTCTGCTAGTTTTGGACTCTTTAACCTGTTTTTGTTGTAAATTTTCAGAGAAGCCAATCTTTGAGTTACTCTACTCTACTTATTCCTGCTCGTTAATTTGAATGTCTTTTGCCGTAAACTTTAGGTCCCTGTTACTATTGTGAGCAGCTTATTTGATGCACCGCTGTGGTCTGGTTGGCAAGGCCTGGGTGACATGATTATTCAGCTAGAAGCTCGCTGGAGTTTCACTTGCAGTCTTGGGAGAGTTGTCGGGGATTTCAGAAACATCTAAAACCGCATGCTGGGTTCAGCCTTTCCTCCGTAAAATCTGTGTATAGCCCATGATTCTGTGGGTAATAGGAAAACTGATACTGATGAATGCATTCCTGTCACTGACGTTCCTGTCAACATTTTTATGTTTTATAATAAACTATTTAAAAAAAATACGAATGTCTTTTGTATGATGTATTTTTACCATGTGTATTTTTCATATCTTGTTTGTTTTCTTTAAAGTTGGTGTCGAATATGGGGGGGGGGGGCACGTCCTCCTAAATATTTTGTATGTGTTTTGACATCTTTGCCGGCTCAGCTGAAGCCAGTGAAAATGTGACTGAATGTAAGCATGATGATCTTTTCCTGTGGCCAACACTTCATCATTTGATAAATAAAACTCTCTCGCAGCAGCTAAGTGAAGGCCTGCCATCTTCTGTACAGAGGAGCTTCTTTTTTTCCTGATAAAGTGCAATCTGGCTGTCGGCTGTTTCTCTCATATTTAAATACTCAATAAAAACCTTAGATTAAGGTCAGTTATAAACACAAAAACCAGAGTAACACTGCACAGATTAAGAAATTGATATATGTTTATTTATTCCCTTTATAGGTTTTCTATACACATACAAAACAGAAGCATACTCTTTAGGTTAGATAAGTAACACTTTATGATAAAGATAATGGTTTGAACTGATAACTGCGCCACCCAGTGGCCGGAAAGGGTTTTTTTTTTGGCACAGAGAGATTGGTTTAGTGCTGTAGTATGGCTACTGGTTTGGCAAGTTGCGGGGGCGATGACTGAAAATATGTTGGGCCCCCCTCCACCATCTTGTCCTGCTGGTTCCTCCAAGGGCCTAGAGGTGTGAGGATGCCTGGCGACTCCCTTCCAAAACCCCCTCGCTCGGCACGGAGAAGAAGTGGCACAGGCCCTCCTCGGACAGCTGCCCATACTCGTTGTTGTAGAAGGTCTGGCCGGAGAGCTGGCTCAGGAAGGGCGGTCGATGCCGGTCCTCTGGGCCCGATCCTGCAGCTCCATCTGCACTTCTTGCCGAGTGTTGGCTGCGGGGGGCAGAGAGGGCTTTGTAAGAGTCCCATTAGCACTGTGTGAGCATGCGTACCTTTCTGATATTTTATGAAAGGCACAGCGTAACGGTACTTACAGGATATGGTGGGCCCTGTGCTTCATGTCTGCCACACCCTTACGTGTATAAATAGCTTATGTGCAAAGCCCCACATCCTTAGCTTACTCATAAATGAAGGGAGATCAAGCTCAGGCTAGCTAGCTGACGTCGGTCAGTCGGTTTATTTGTATAGATCATTTTCAAATTCAAGCAAGTTGACAGACCGCAGTGCGGCACAATGGGAGGCAGGAAAATGTATGGAAAGACTGGAGCGATAAAAAAACGGAACAGAGGGCATCGCACCTTCTGAAGAGAACTCCTCTATGCTTGTGTTCGATTCTCTCAAACTCCTCCGAAGCAAGGACCATCCCACTGTCCGTCTGATTGTCCTTCACAAAAAAAAATGTAAAAAGTCTGCTTCTGCAACAAATGACTACGACAAAAAAAGTGACAATATACGCGCAGCGAAAATGATTAACAGCGACACTTTCAGAATGTAGCTGGCACCGGACGGGAACTCACGTGATGTGTATTATAGGATGTGGCCTCAAGGGAATACTCTTCGAAAGTCTTGACTCGCGTGTGAGCAGCCTTAGAGGGGCCGGTCATGACACACCCAGCAAAGGGGACACAGTTGTAGTATCTGTGAAGACAGGCCCACACTTCCGTTAGCAATGCACTGCCTTCCCGGCCACAGAGAATGGTCCATTGGCCAAGGATGTTTTGACTTTTCTTTCTTTCTGAACCAAAACGTCTCACATCATCGAAATTACATTCACCCAAGGACATGGGAAGTAATACATTTAATTTTGTAAAAAAAAAAAAATATTTACAGTTCATGTTGTTTCACACAGAATCCATGAAAACAATGAAATATCTATATATCAAGTACATGTTATATGTTATATAAATATTTGTAATTCTCCGATATTCAAAACTGAGCTGTTTACTAGTATTATAAATAGCAGGCAAAAAAGGTTAGATATGTTCAGCAGGAACAGTTTGTACATTTGTCATGTGCTTGCATGAATGTAACTTCGATGGTGTAAGACGTTTTGGTTTTAAATGTTATTTAACAGAATTGGTGGTATATGATCAGGAGGCACATTTTATAGACTGCAAGTCAAAGGTCTGCCAGGCCAAGCTGCTTCAACTGAGTTATCAAAGGGAAGTTCCAAAGGTGATGATAAGCTTATTTGTACGATTATGTCTGACATTTTCTAAGAAAACGTAAAAAGCGTATGTTTTTGAGAAACATTTGGTAGTTTCCATTTTTTGCTGCAAGTAGAATTCTTAGTGTGTATCTTCTCTTTTTGAGAGCAGCTGATTCCGTTCTATAGATACATTTATTTATCACTTATGAAACTTAATTCTCATTGTGCCTTCACTTCTTGGTTTTATGAAACATAGCAGTCTAAATGATGGAGAAATTGTACAAACCTATACTAGCCAAGATCTTTCTATCAGACGACGAAGCATGAAAAATGTTCTGTTTATATAAATGACGAAGCCTTCTTTGTGTTACATCACCAGATTAAAGTGAGGAGAACCAAGAAATCTAATTTAAAACCAGTACATAAATACATTTATAGAAATGAGGCTAAAACCGATGTAACAAAAGACAGAGTCCAGAGCCCTTCGTAAAATATGGCACGCTGTAATATCCTTATTCTTTACCCGTTTGTCATTTTCAGGGTCATGAGGGTTTGGAGCAAAAGGCTGGAAACAACCCAGGATGGGGCACCAACCCACTGCAGGGCGCAAACAAACACAACCCAGGATGGGGCACCAACCCACTGCAGGGCGCAAACAAACACAACCCAGGATGGGGCACCAACCCACTGCAGGGCGCAAACAAACACAACCCAGGATGGGGCACCAACACACTGCAGGGCGCAAACAAACACATTCACACCTTCAGACAATCTGGCAGCTCCAACTCACATTCGCACGTTTTTGGCCTGTGGAGGGAAAGCAGCGCTAAGCACTGCACCAGTCCAGTGACCTTCTCGGCAGAAACCCCCCTCCCCAGTGGCCGTACCTGATAGGCAGGGTGTTGCATGCCAAGGGTAGTTCCTCCTCAGACGGGGGTCTCGACGAGACCTGAGAGAAGCCGTCGTCCTCGAGGCTCTGCGATGTGTCCAGGGGCGTGTAATCCTTACCGTCCTGCCAAGATCACAGGCCTGAGTGTGCTGTGGTGTCACTCATTTTGTTATGACAGTGTTCCTCTGCCTTAAGCTACATTTCCCCAGCGTGTCCCCTGTTACCGGTAAGCCACTGTCCTGCAGCATGTCCCCGAGGATCTCCACCAGGGCCGGAAAGGTGGGCCTCTCCCTGGGTTCGCCCTGCCAGCAGGCCAGCATAATCCTGTATCTGTCAACACGCACGGAGAACAACACTGCGTTACACTTTGATACACTTTTAGATTTCTAAATTTACTCATTATGTTTCCCTTGGTCCTCAGTGACAGAATTTTTCTCTTTTCCGAGACATTTCCTGTTCCTTTTTTTGTTGATTATACTGTATTGGATGACAGTTTCTATTTTAAAACTGTGATGACATTTTTTGGCAGTTGGTTCCACTGTGGATTAAAAAAAAGTGGCATGGATATTATCGGGGTGGTGGCCGTTTAAAACGGCCAAGAATTGAAGAGCTAACGGCTTTAAAGCGAAGCCCTCACATTTCAGGGGAAGCGTTGTCTGGTGCTCGCATTCGGGTGCCATCTTTCAGCCGTTTGCAAAAGTCCTCGTCGATCTGAACACCGGGATAAGGGGACGCACCTAAAGAACATAAGGAGAGGGTCTGGATGTCACTGCTCAGGACAAGCGTACTGCAGCTGCCAGCTGTCAAGCAACAGTGACAGTGATATAAGATACTCGTGGTGCTGGTACAGCACAAACTGATCGGCTGGATTGGGTGTTCCACGGATTAATCGTGCGAGGCGATGAATGCAGACCACAATCAATGACCTTTGACCTCTGACCTACAACCTGCCATTCTTACCCAATGAGAAGATTTCCCACAATAGCACGCCAAAGGACCACACATCACTCTGAGTGGTGTACACCTTGTCAAAGATGCTCTCCGGCGCCATCCACTTCAAAGGCAGCCGGACCTGGGGGAAAGCAGAGCCGGAAAGTCATCCGTGGTCCTCTCAGCCAGTCGGGAATTCCAGGCAAAGGAGGCTACATCATTAGCCAATATGAGTCACATGACTTCACCACAATCACAATTGTTCACTTTGATTGTTGATAGGACGTGTGTGTTTCTATATATATATATATATATATATATACACACACGTGTACAGGTATATATTCACGTTATAATAAAGGTAAACTGTAGGCGCTTACATTGCCTTTCCGCACGTAGTCAGGGTCCTTATAGATGTCGCGTGCCAGACCAAAATCGCAGATCTTCACCACGTTGCTCTCGGACAGGAGGATGTTTCGTGCGGCCAGGTCCCTGTGAATGCACTGCAGGAGGGGAAGGTACCGTATGCTTTATCCGTCTCGATGTTTTCTTCGGTGCTTTTTTGTGAGATTTCAGACTGAGGGAGTATTCTTGTGTTTCACAAACCAGCGGCCGTCGGATAGTGTAACATGGTGGGGGCTTGGCAGCCATTTCTAGTTTGGTCTGGATCAGAATCAGTTTGATGGTGCCGTGTGCTTTGAACCTCGTCATTCGAAATGTCATCTTCTTGTTGTAAACACAAGACGTTCATAGGTTCAGGCCCTGTTTCCCACGTCTTGCTCGGTTTATGATTCAGCGTCCCCGCAACGGTGCCCCAGTGAGACCTCCCCACCATGTGACTGCCCCCGTCCTCACCTTGCGGGATGCCAGGAACTCCATTCCTCTTGCCACCTGGAAGCTATAGCAGATGAGATCCTCCACAGTGAGGGGAGCTTTCCATAGGTCATCTACTGTTGGGAGAAGCAGTGAGACTTTCAGGGCTAGAATCAGGTTAGATCGTACACAGCTAAGACACTGTATGTACTGTAGGTATATATCCATAAGGATAACAGTCACTAAGTATTCACTTTCGGATAAGATGAAGATGGAAAGTATGGCCCTCTCTACACTCAGTTTTAAAATGCGTCTTGGGCGATCAAATCACAAGCAGACAGCTGAGACACGTCGCCTTTTACACCTGTGACTATCGTGCGTCTCCACTTGTGTTCAGATTTCTTAACTGCCTGCATCACTTCCTGTAGATGATCAAATGGTCCCATATACAGTTATTGTGATGTCCTTTTTGGAGACAGATCAGGACTCTTTAGCGTTTATGCTACCAAAGATATCTGGTCAAATACGTCCCAGACTGTGAAGTGGTATGAGTGATCGGCTCACGAGGTACTTCAGTGGTCGTTCACACTTGCATTTAGCGCTGACCACTTGTGATCCAATTTTAAAACCAAGTGGAAACGGGGCCTAAGGCTATTTGAAAGAGAGCCAGAGCACCATGACTTAACTGACTGCGGAGTAAGCATCAGAACGTTATTCAACTGGACCCTGCTGACCTTTGTCTGGGCTGGGCTGGGGGTTCTGGTTGTGCTTGGCCTGACTGCTACCTCGGGGAGGGAGGTCCCCGCGCTGATCCACCTGCACTGCCTCCATCATCCGGCGGACTTGATTTCGGGTCTTGGGGGAACGGTCCTTGGAGATCAAAGGAGCAGTGAGTCGACGAGGGTCACCAACCTCAACTTATTGGCTTTTGTCAATGTCAACTGAATGGCAACTGAATGTGCAACAAAATAAATATACACCTCTGAAGATATGGAAGTGAGAGACATTCTGGTAATTCTTTTAAACTTCAATATATCGGGATTAAGCAGAAAAATAAGTTGTGTAAAGTTGTCCAGAAGATATTTGCTTTATGAATGTTTACATTGTTTGTTGCATATGACATGAAATATGACTTGAAAATCCCCAAAGAAAAGCCTTGAGAAGTCAAAAATGAAGGAAAACAGGAAGTGAAATTGTGAAATTTGTGATTATTTCTTTTCCATTCACAATAAATAATGTCAAGGTCATAAGACCCCAAAAAGTGCACAATGAGCCACAGTCGGAAATGTGGTACTGAACAGGTCTTATACCCAGAGCACAGGTACCTGGACACGATCACGTTCTTGTTGTCTGAATATGAAGTTTATGGGTTAAATACATAACTTTTTTGTTTGGAAAATAGAAAAACTGTGCTTTGTAGATTTCAGGGGCAATAACACATTAAAGCCTCTGATTTTACTTTATTATTATTTTTTCTCTGGAAGGTGTGTTTTTCCTTTCTTTCTTCAAAGCAGGAGCTTCACAGCTTCAAGACAAATATATTACAACATATATTACAAACTGCAGGCTTCTGGGGGATCATTTCTTATCCTTTGCAGTCCTACGGTTTTCTTAGTCACTTGAAAGAACCCCAGGAGTGACCTGGTCCCACGGCAAGAATCTTGACAATTTCAGAGGAAATACTTCTGTCTGGAAGCCATCACATGAAAGCCCTCACTATGAAGACCTCTGGGGTTATGTAATCAAGGCATTCAGAAGAAATGGCACAAACTGTTCTTAAAGGGAAAATGAAATCAAACAACTTCGCAAACCAAATAACACATAAAATCATTTCCTGTTGTGTCATCACAGTCTGTAGCGGTCAGTTTCGTTCCCGGCGAACATAATCTGGACTGTCCTTGATCTTTTAAAAGTCCCAATGATTCAATTAAAGTGCACATGAGAGCTGATCATAAGATCAGGAAAAATACTGATCATTGGCTGAGCTCACACACATTTATACATTGCTTGGTGGCACACTTTAATATTTTGTTGGACCGCCTTTATCTTTGATTATGGTGCATTATCATGCTTATGTAACATCAGGTCAGGTCAGGTTGGGGAGCATGTGCTGATGCAGCCCGATGCCACACCCACCATACAGCGAAACCCCTCGGGATCCCGGCCGGCGACCCCCCAGGCAGATACATGGTCCAGTCCCACCCTGTGGAAATGTCCCTCTATCTGTCACAGCCAGGTGTTTCGTGGGCGTCCACTCGGCCCGGTCCAGCCGCCGGGGTCCTCAGCAGTGAGGATCCTGTGACCCGGATCACCCTCGGGGAAACGCGCCACATGGCCGTAGTGCCATAACATCTCAACATTTTTTTCATCCAGATCTGCACTAATTTTTCATTGAGATTGATGATAGGTGAATTGAACCACTCCATAAAGTCTTCTTAAGCACATCCCAAAGAGGTTCAAATCATGTGTGAAAATGATTCCCCATGCCCCCTGAACCACTCTTTGACAATTCAATCTCCATGAATCTTGCCACTATCATCCTGGAATGTGTCCATGCCGTTAGGAAAGGAAAAAACCCATTGATGGGATAATCTGGCCATTCAGGAGATTAAGGCACTCAGCTGACTTCACGCTATTGCTGCATAATATTGCTTTGCTGTAATAATGATCCAATCATTAGCTTTGAGGTACCTGCTGATTTAAATTCAAACTGTGACTTTTTTTGGCCAGGCAGTGTATACATCGTATACAGATTAGAAACAAAATGACTAAATAAAATCAACTAATTTTGAGACACATACCCCATGAATACAGTAAAGTTTCCTTCAGAGTATCCGTGTCGTAATAAAGCTTAATCAAAGAATCAAGCCACAAGCAACAGAATGGTACGTGTTATCGGAAACAGACCCAACCCACGCTATAGTGTTTGTCAGAAAACATTCAAAACTGTTGCTTAGACATCTAGGCTATTAAGCAAGTTGTGATACTAATATTATTATTTTTTTTTTACCAGTTGATTAAAATTAGCACATACAATGTGACAGTAACACTCACCCTGTATGGGAGGAAGAACTCTCTTTTGGCTCGCAGATAGTTGGAAAGATTTCCATATTTGCAGTACTCCACAATCACCATCAGGGGGCCTAGAATAACAGGCAATAGAAACCAGAGACAAAAAAGGTACAGAATTATACAAGTAGGCCAGAAAACTGTTCAACAAAAACATTTAGCAAAAAATATTTTTGAGCATGAAAAAGCATCCCGGGAAGGACTTCATGTCCCTAGCCATTTCTAACCGGGCCGAACAGGCTAAAGTGTCAGTTTTTTAAATGTGTTGTCCAGAGTGAGAAAAATCGTAATTTATTTAGCAGATACTCTTCTCCAAAGCGACATACATTTTTTGCGTGAAAGAAGGGTCGAACAATCCCCAGAGTAGTTGGAAGTTGAGGGTCTTGCTTCAGGGCCCAACAGTAAAATCACTCTGTTGAGTCTGGGATTTGAACCCATGACCCTCTGATCACATGCATAGCAGACTTACTCCGCCACACACCACCCTCCGTATAAATCCGGCTGGGACCATACGGTCCTCTCGAACCCTGCTCACCGTTGGGCTTTGTACAGGCCCCCAGCAGGTTGACCACGTTCAGATGGTTGCCGATGTGGATTAGAATCTTCAGTTCTGACATCAGGGCTTTGTGTTCACTGGCGGTAGCCCCCTCTGTGATATATAAACACACATCATACGTCATTTGTTTAAATCACACATTGACTTAACAATACCAACTTAGATTTCTGTCTATTCACAATACTGGACAAGTACATTATAAAGTCAAGCTTTTGCATAAGAATGTGTTACTAAGGACCTTCTGCTGCTGGTAACAAGCTCACTGCTATAATAATTTCCCTGCTGTATACTTGTACAGAGCATTATTTTACAAATTCATACATTCAAAGGCCATTTGTAGCCAACGAGCTCATTGTTCCTCAACCCACCTTTCAACATTTTGACAGCCACAGTCTCCAGGGTGTTTGTTCTGGCGATCCCGAAAGCAGAGGCCTCGATCACCTTCCCGAAAGCCCCGTGACCCAGGACCTTCCCTGCAGCGCAGACACGGTGGTTTTAATAAGAGAACGCCAAAGGGCGATGGCCCCGATGGCCGCGCGTGTTTGGCAGGGTCGACGCTGACAGATGACAGACCACACTTATCAGTGTCCATTTTATCACGGCAGATATCGTCCGAGGCATGCGCCTCTAACGGAGGCTGCTCCGACACCCGATCCTCATCCTGTCCTCGGTCCAAATTAAAACTTGAAAAAACAACGGAAGAATGAGCCTCACCAAGTCGCAGTCGATCCCGAGGGACCTCCCACTGGCTGGAATCGTAGGGCAGATATTCACACTGATCTTCCAGAGGCACCTCGCCAGGGTCCATGATGATGGACAGGTAACCAGTTTTTATATCTGCTGGACTTGTCTGGGAAATGGACAGAAGAGGGAGAATGTTATTCTAGTGTGTAGAGGGGTGTAGACAGAGTGGGCATGACACATGGTGGGTACCCAGGGATTTAACTGTCTGTAGAGCTGTATACTTCAACTGCAGATATGACCAGCAAAGATGCCATGTCCAGTTATGGAAAATTAATGGCAGATACAGGGAGGTGACTTCTGAAGTAACGGAGCAAAGGTGGACCTGCTTACCCGTTTGACGTTGCAGAAGATGAGAATGAGAAGGAACCAAAAGAAGACGGCAATGACTCCCGTCCCAATAAGGATCACCACTTCCACGTTGGTCTTATCGTCAGAGCCTGAAACAGAGAAACGCAGGCTTCCTTCAGAGAAGGTCCTCGTTCCTGAATCTGACAGAAGCACCTGAGCGTGTCCTCTGTCCCGCTCGACAGCAGGTTAGGCGAAGCGACACGCTGCTGTCAGCAGGCGCTGTCTGGGTGCTCAGGCCCAGCGTCACAGGAATTCCTCACAGCAATTAAAGCTGAAAAAAATCACTGCAACTTTCATCCTTAAAAAGGCAGTTAATGGAACTATTACAACCACAAACAAATGTGCCAATAGCCAAACTGAATAGACATTCACTTTCAGAATGTTTGAAACCTGTTAAGGATAATAATCTGACCCCACAAAGTTTTCTCTTAAGAGAAGTAATGAAAACTATACCTCAAAGAGAATAAGAACATCTGAAAAATGGCCTGTTTACACTGGCAAAAGATTTGCACTGGACAAAAACCGAAACATGTTCAAAGCTGAATGTTCCCTTACTGTATTACCGCTGACGTTCACTGAAAACACAACAGACTCCGATAAAAAAGAAGGCATAGTGACGACTTTACATTCTCAAGTACACTGAATAATTATTTTTGATAATTAGTCTTTGGTGTGCTCTCTGTGACTGTAAGAGTTTAAGTAGGGATGATATTGTATAAGGGGTATAAGAATTCATGTGGGACGTTGTAATTGTGTGAGTCAGAGTCGATTGGTGCGATTGGGCACCAAGAAGTTGCCAGGGGCGAAGGCAACTCTTACCCACGACGGAGACGGTGGCCGAGGTCTGGATGCAGCCCCTCTGGTTGCAGGCGGTGCATGTGTACAGACCGGCATCCTCTTCCCGCACGCGCTGGATACTTAGCGTCCGGTTGGAGTCTTGCAGCAGTATTCCTGCGCACATCCAGACAGCCATCAATGAAGCGCGCAGCCGCTCTGTGTCTCGTCTGGGGTCCCCCTCTCCCCCCCGCCTGCCTTCCCAAAACCCCCCCTGCAGACTTATTATGCAAAAATGGAGCCATATCAGGGTCACATTTAAGAACCACTGAAGATAAAAAAAATAGTATGAGACTCTCTTTTCATATACACTGCTTATACCAAACTGATTATCCGGATAAGCCACAGATAAGTACTCTGATGTCAACTGAAGGATGTATATAAGTATGCTAATGAAGCCTCTTCATCTAGAAGGTACAATAAAGAACAGGGGGGGGGGCAAAATACCTACACCTCTCATCCGTCACCCTACAAAACAGCCCCCCCCCCCCCCATATGAACTAAGCCACATTCCATGCCAAAACCACTGCGCTCTGTTACTGGCCAAACTCTTGCTCACTCAGCTGGATGGAACGCTCCCCCCCCAGCAGAAATATCCCCTTCCATTACATTCCGGCCCCAGTTCAAAGCCCCTGACCCCCCCCAGCCTTTGGCTAGCTTGGATTACTATGGAAAGGTATGTCAGGGCAGCAAGAGGAATGTGTCTGTAAAGCCCTGCAGTACATTTGCGTGTGCACATACATGTCTTGCACGTCGGAGGCATGTTTTGGGCATTGTATTGGAGTCGTCCGATGTGTTACTGTCATGGAATATCAGATCTCGCTTACAGCCAGCGATGGAAAAGAAGGGCTTGATCATACAGTTGCAGAGAGCCAGTTGTCAGCAGAGGTGTCCGCTACACATTACAAAGACATTCCGGAGCTGTAAAGTCGTCACTTTGTCCCGGGGCCATTTCAGTAGCTATAAAAGTGCAAAAAACATTGTTTCCGCAGAGACTAATTTGAACTGAGCTCATAAAAATTAGAGAAAATACGGCTGTGGCTGCATATTTTCAGATTATATATCTTGCTAATTTTTATTCTTCCTCAAAGCTCCGCAGCTGCATAATATAACTCCTTCAGGGTGGTTCACTAAAAACAACAGCGTTCGTCAAGGTCAGGGCACTACAGACACTGCAAAACTCCTGAGATATTTCAGTTTACAGCCCCTTTGGCTCTTTTTCCACGGCACTCACCTCACTCAAATTCTTCCTGTCAACCTTGTTGTCAGAAGAGATGGAAACAGATTGAAATCATTTGTTTACATTTGTATTTCGTAGTGTGTGGGGGGGGGGTACAGATTTTCATGGGAAAAAATGTGTCCCGGACAGGAAAAAATAGGACTGTAACGTACCAGCCGAGGAATTTCTAGAAGCCCTGACTATAAGGGTGATGGTAAACACGGCACCTTTATGAGCAATATTGCCAGGCGACCAAAAGAGGTGGAAATTTCAGGCCCAGAAAGTAATAATGCAGACCATGATTTTATTCCAACCAACCAGTTGAGTACTCTGTGACTGTGACTCTTAACACTCAACTGGTTGGTTGGAACAAAATCTTGGTGTGAACTTGTACTTTCTGGACCTGAATTTTCCACCTCTGCTGACTAATGTTGCCCAGACACTTTCCTATTCATCTTGGGCAACAAATTTCTATTTGAAAAACTCTGATTGACAGTGGACAACTTTTTGCGGCCCTTTGTCTGACCTGGTCGTCAGTTGCCCGGCAACATTGCTGAAAAACTTGCCCCGTGCATCATCACCTCTAGAGCTGAGAAAGAAAGAAGAGCCACCATTTCGATTGACATGGGAGCTCCTGCGCCAAGCTCCGCCCACGTTCAGCGGACGGAAGGTGAAAGGACGGCTCACCTGATATCTGGTGCAGAGGCTGGTTGTCTTTCAGCCAGGACAGCTGGGGAGTGGGAGTGCCCTCCACATCACACTTCATCAGCAAGGTCTCGCTGATGTTCACCGTCTGATTGGTGGGGTTGTGCCGGTAGCGTGGGGCTTCAAGAGCTATTGGTGGACGGGTTGGGAAAAGTGACCAATGAGATGCAAGTTTTTTTTTAACAGCTGATCTTAGTATTGCTCTGTATAGCATGTATGGATGAGAATTAAGGATGAGGTTTTTAAACTGAGTGGGATCTCAGGGAACTTTAATGCCAGCAGTGGTTTAATCTGAGCCTCTTGTGGAAGAAAATGGATGGTTGGATGGATGGATGGATGGATGGATGGATGGATGGATGGGCATTGTTCTGACCTTTGACCAGGATGTACTTGCGATGACAGTGTTTCTCGCCACTGCGGCGGTTCTGGGTCTTGCATACATAGGAGCCCTCATGTTCTAGCTGGATGTTAGGCAGGACCAGCTCGAGGACCCAGCTGCTGGTGGCGGGTTCGAAGGACAGCTCTCCTCTCAGCTCCTCGGCATACAGGTGGATGCTCTTGCAGTCCAACTCTGGCGGCTTGCCCGTCTCATTCTGGAGGGCCTGCGGGTCCAGACGGTACCACCGCAGGTTCTCATAGGTATAGTTGTCAGCACTGCACCGGAGTCGGACCTGGTCCATCTCCAAAGGCTCCTCTGTAGGTAGCAGCTCGATCCCAAAGCCTTCTGGGATAGCTTCAGAGAAAAGCAAACAAAATCCCATTGGCTCATTGGCCGTATTAATGTCCTCATAACACCAGAGCGAGAAAGGAAGTTACTGACTCATGTTTTTCATTGTTAAAGTTTATACAGAAAAATCTATTACAGCAGATTCTAATGTAAATAGCTATTCCAAATATTGATTTGTGAGAATGCTACCAGATTAATATCAGATATACAATTTTTTATTGCTGTCTTTTATATACTAAATTAAGCTGCAGCATGAATTTGCCACGGTAATGCAGGTACATTTCGTGGACTTCTGTAGTGTGAAGATAAACTGCCAAAGGTCTATCAGCACACATTAATGTTTGCTTGGGCCCTTGTTTGGGGATTGAGGAATCATCTAAAAGTTCCTAATACTTACTAGTTACATAGAAGTAGATCAGCATCTCATCTCTGCCGACTTTGTTGGCTGCGGCGCACTTGTACATTGCTGACTCACTGGCATTTTGAATCACCACTTTGCTCACGGTCTGTGAACAAAAAAAAACAGATTAATTTTATCTCAGGAATAAATGTCACAGGAGGTTGTTTGCAGTTTGCTCCAGTCACCAATGCCACATGAGACAGTTTGATATTGGGGGGGGACACACAACTCAATAATTTAAAAATCAAAGGGAATGGAAGGGGGGCGAATTAAGCAAAATTAAATATTGAGGGGTGCATGTCCCCCCACCCCCCTCCAGTCCCTACGCCCCGACTTGTCACCCCCTCCATCTACACTACAGGAAATGATGTCACAAATGAGCATGAAAACAGGATCTGTGTGTCTCTCCCTGGGTGTTTATTCCTACTCCCTACAGGAAATATGCAGAGGAAGACAGTTTTAAAAATCTCTCACGTGGAAACGGCGCGGCCTTTAGCGCGCCCCCCCTGCACCCCCCCCATCGCTCTTGTCTTGTCACAGTACATAATCAGGGACAGTCTCAGAGCAACAAGGCCTTTGTAGCACTTACTTCACAAAACTCTTTCTATCGAAATGTGTGCTTCTCCAGTAAAACTAAAATTACAAATTAAAAGCCAATTGCTGCAAAAATATTTCAGTCAATTTTAACTTTCACAATTTAAACGCTATTTATAGATATCTTAGAAGCTTTGGCATCCAGAAGCTTCGAAGATTTCACGCACTGATTATGATTTGTAATTTTTGCACTGTAATGCAGAGTTTGGTGAAAAGGCTTTTTTGCTGTCTGTGTTTCCCTAAAAGGTGTCACTTGGTTCTTCAAATCTGCAGGAAACACATACCTTGTTTCGCCCGTCCACCATTTCGGTCCAAGTGTCGATGTTCTCGATTGCATTAACTGCATCTTCTGAGTCCATGTCCTGCCAGTCCTGACAGTGTGACACACGCTCTCGCCTCTTACGCACAGATGTTCCTCTCTGGTCCCTGGAATGTCCCCCACAGCCATATAATTTAAAAGCACAGTAACTACTAACTGACAATACTACATTTGAGACAAAGGGATTGCTGTGAATCTTGTGTGTTCATTTAGATAAATATAAAAGAAAAAAAATATGAATTTTATTCATTAAACAATTTGAGAATTTCCTCAGCATGCTTAGATCTACGTTTGAATAAATCACAGAATCTTCCGTTCCTGCAGTAAGACCCTCACCTAAAAGCATCAGTCACTTTCATTCAGAACAAAAGAATTACTCTGGAAATCCTTGATTAGGGTAAGTCTTTGTGAAATAATTCTTGGGACTATCTAAGCAGAAACATCTATGTGAATCCTTGTTGATAAGGATGGCCTCTTTCATGACCGGTAGACGTTGTCTGTTTCTGTCAGCAGAGGGAAATTGATGACTCCCCCATGAGGAAGAGCTTTTTGATTCCAGCACCTTCCTGTGTTTGACGGCGGATACACACGGGAGGACGGTCATCGCTCATCCAGGATTTACCACAAAGCTTTGGCTTCAAGTCATGAGCAAACAGAAGTGAGGCCAAAAAGTACGAAAACAAAGAGGGAAGGAGACTGAAAGAAGAACAAGGGGGAAAGTATTGCTCAATACCCTAGTAAACACGGTGAAATCCAGAAACAGCATGTATGGACACATTTAGAGTACAAGTTCATGTTAGAGGTCAGTGGAATGAGAGGGTTTATTCAGCAGGCCATCGCCGGTTCCTGAGCAGTGGAGGGGATCTTCTAGTTCAGACTGTCAGAGACTAACTCTTACCGAAATGAAGGGGGTGTCTTGTGTAGATGCCGACTTTGTGTCTAAGGCAGCTGGAGTGTGATTATGAGAAAAGCCGTAGACGCTGATCAGGACGGCCTGAACACAGGTCAGCTGGGGGTGTGTAAGGGGGTGTGCTCTGCTTCCGAGAATATGAAGAAGGTCGGCCAGGTATAGTACCAGTCAGAACACACCGACCCATAGAAAGGGTTATTTGTACTATTCTCTATATTTTTGTATAATTTTAAAGACATCAAAACTATAAAATAACATATGCATTATGCACTGAGTAAAAAAGTATTAAACAAAAAAAAATAATTTGTTGGGGGGAAGCTCTGTGGGTTGGGATTCAGAAGGTTACCAGTTCAAAGCCCAGGGTCGGCAGAGTGATCCTACCATTGGGCCCTTGAGCAAGGCCCTTAACCCCAATTCCTCCCGGGACTGACTGACCCTACAGTCTCCTCTGTGTCAGTTCCATGAGGTGGCCTCCTGGGATGCTTCTCCAGCTGTCCTGAAGTCCCACATGTATGCTGCGAACTGGCCGCTTCTCCTTCACTCTCTGGTCAAACTCCTCCAAACTCATCTCTACTGTGTTCAGGTCAGGTGGCCAGGTCATGTGATACAGCTATCACTCCTTTGTAGACTGCTGACTGGTACTTTGCCAAAGCCAAACACAATACTTGGTCTATCTCCTACTTCCCTGCCCCCCACCCCCCCAACACACACACACACACACACACACACACACACACACGCTTTGCCCACTATTGGGAGATGTTCGTGTACTTTCTGTTGTTATGACAACACACCTCCCTTTTCATGTTGCATCCCTCCATTCCTCACTACCCCACCCCAACTGCCACATCTCTGATGCACGCAGAAGAGCTGCTGTCACTGCGATCTGGTTTTCTGAAGACGAGAGAGACCTGACTCCTCTTGGTGTCTGCAGCTGACAAACGGCCAATACAGACAGAGACTATCTGCATTTAACTTGGTATGAACCAAGTGACCTTAACACTAACATCATGCAGATGAAAGGCAACGGTCCAACATTACTTTAACCCTAGAGAAAATTTAGCCTCAGCCCTTGACAGATTGGTAGGGACACATCCAAGGCCTTCAAACAAACATTTGACTTGGACGCGCCAACGATTGAGGGATGACTCGCTAATACGTGTATCGTTTCAGCTGTAGTTGTCGTATATTTTTGTGGGATGACAGGAATTCTGAAGCGGCCATGAGTGATTTAGAAAAGATGTTAGTTGGGGACAAAATGGCGTGTGGCGCCGAAGGCTTACGGGCTGCGGAGGGGTCCATTGGGGCCACATGGACCCCAGGGTCTCCACTGCCAGGTGATGGTGGAGGGGGCAGGGACGCCGTATGCTGTACAGGTGAGCGTTTGCCGGCTGCCCCTCTGGTAGGGGTGTGTGGGAGCTACTGCCTCCTTCTCATGGATCCGCGGGGGGACTTCAGGAACAAGGTCAGGGATTTCAGTTGGTTACTTCAGAAATGCCTGTTAGAAATGTCTGCTGTACAAAGCATCGCTATTTCCAAAGACTTTAATAAATGGGGGGTTGTGCTTTAAAACATATAGCTGTGGTGACCAGATAATCCATGTCAGGAAGGACATTGGTCTAGGACAGGATTTGTAAACTACCACTTCGATTTAGAGGACCTGAATTTAACTTTAGAGCTGAGGCCTTGCTGTTTACTGATTGGTCAGTCTCCTATAATCATGCCTGTGTCACTAATGTTATTGTGAGACAGCTGGATGAGTCTTTCAAGCAAGGAAACAAAGCAGTAAAAGCACCAGAAGTATTGAACTATTTCACCAACCACAGGCACCTTTTGATTTTAAAAACGTAGTTTATAGTGTCCCCCGGATATGGATTAGGGGGTCACCCTACATATTGCCTTTACTTACAATATGGACAGTCAAGTACCAATAATTACCGTTGACTAGCAGGCTGAGGCTGATTCTTCTCTCCAGAAGGGCGGCGCTATTTTTAAGGACAAGAGTGTAGTTCCCAGCATCCTGCTGGCAAACCTCCCTGATGTCCAGGCTGTGTTGCTGGTACTTCATCCTGTTGAATTCTGGTTGCTTGTTTATTAATTTTCCATCTTTGTACCTGGGAAATATATCCTTGGTAATACATCCTGTTCACCGCGCATTGCTAGTTGCAAGTTTCCATTGGCTCTGGTTAGGCCGCCTTACCACTGTGTTTCTGGTGATGGATAGGCTGACACTCGGACCGAAAGCTTGAATATCTTTTGGCCAGCAGTAGCTTCCACAACTGGGCCAGTTTTGTAATCCACGCTGATGAATGGCTTCTCTGAAAGACAATGAACATTTTAGTGTCAAATTGGTGAGTGGCATGGCAACGCGTCGTCTTCACACCTTCAGACTGGGGGACAGAGGTGGGTAGTTCAGGTCCAAAGAGTAAGAGTCCAGACCAAGATTTTGTTTCAACCAGCCAATCAAGTACCCTGTCACTGTGACTCTTTACGCTCAACTGATTGGTTGAAACAAAATCCTGGTCTGGACTTTTACTCTCTGGATCTGAACTATCCATCTCTTCTGGGGGGTTACAATCCTGTCCCCTCCTGTGAGAGTCCTCATTCCATGCTTTAGCAGAAATTCCCCCAACTATCAATTAAGCAAAATGGCTTCTCTAAATTGCTGCAGTGTGTGTGTGTTCTGTGATGGACTGGTAAACCTGGCTTTGTGTCCTGTGCTTACTGGGATGGACTGGTACACTCGGCTTTGTGTCCTGTGCTTACTGGGATGGACTGGTACACCGGGCTTTGTGTCCTGTGCTTACTGGGATGGACTACAGGCAGACGGTGAACTAGTACTTGATAAGCAGTTATGCAAGATTGGTGAATATAATGAAATTCACCAATCTTGGATATATATAATGATTACCATTAATATGGTTTTTAATGTATAATAATGTAGGTTTGAATATATGAAAATGAATATTTAAAGTTACCATTCAAGGTAAGAATAAACAGCAGCTGGAAAATCATTGTCAATCATAGAAATCAGTTTGCACATGCCTACACTTTAACTTAATTCTATAAAAAAAGAAACATTAAATATATTTGGGAAATTAAGGATTAGAAACTACAAAGATATTCCCACTTAAAATCAGTAGGTTAAAACTGGTAGAATGAGACAATGTTTATTAATAATAATAATAATAATAATAATAATAAAACTGAAAATAAATATGGTACACGATAACTGCAGTTTTACCGTGTACAATGACCTTCACAGAATGCTCCATCTTGGTTTCCATGCTCGTCGCGTTGCACACATACAGGCCCGTGTCGGTCATGTTAACGCTGCGAATGCTGAAGATGCTGGAAACTTCCGTGACGTGTGACAAAGCCGTGCGCTCCGACTGCAGGCTCACAGTGCGATTTAGCTATCGGTTAAAATAACCATCAACCAATTAGGTATATGAACACCAGTGCAATGACAGTTTTGAAGCAAAACCTTGGAGATCCATGTTCGGGATTGTAGATGAAGACTGATACCCATGCAGGCATAGTTAGCTGCTTAGTTACTGGGCTGACATGTTTTCTCGAAAGGAAAATTGTAACAGCTGCCACCAAGGCACTGCCAGTCAAGGGCAACAGTGGTGATTTATCACTTCACAGCGGGGTGCATAAATATCTGCAGATCATAACGATCTACAAAAAGTTTACCGAGTCACAGCCTAAATTTAATGTGAAAAAGGAAAAAAAAAATAGTATTCAAACATAGCATGCGAATATACCTTGTTCACGGTATAAATCAGCAGGTACACGCTACATACCAGCTTGCCTGGGTAAGCCCACTGAATGTTCACGCCTGTGTTGAACTCCACCTGGCCTGTGCAGTTCAGGATAAGGGCATCACCCACTATCAGCTCCACCGTTTCTTCTGGAAATAGCTTGAAATTGTACAACTTGCTTCCTACAAAGCACAGCAGTGAACACAAACAATCAGGATGTCTTCTTTGAAAGAAAGTCTTTTTATACGTAAACATTATAGTAAAATCATGTATATTATCCTTCTTTGGAGGAAGAACGAATTAATCTCTCTACACGACAAAGCAGTGACATTTTGAATTCGTCAGCTTATAACTACCCAGATAGCTACCAAGAATGTTTGAGTTTAACTGCCACACCAAAGTCTTCTGGGAATCAGTCACTTACCATAAAAGTGAACCAGGTACAGAGGGGACTTATGCTCTACGTTGGAGGAGATGGTGCGACAGAAGAAGCCGAAGATGTGCGGCCTGTTCAGAAAGGTACCGCTGGGGACTGACCAGCCTTTCTTATTGTCCCAGGTTATGCCGTCGTCATCCAGAGGTGCAAGGGAATTTCCGACCTGTGAAGGCATCTACAGAATGACACACTCTCTGACGGCTCTGAAGCACTTCTATGCAGTGTATCAACAGGGTTTCCAACTTTGGTCAGCTGGCTGGCATGAGATTTTCAATTTGAGAAAAGTCTGCACAGGCATTCACATTTATGTAACAGTTTTATTTCCTGGTAAATAGTCTGTAGGGTTTGTAAACTACCTCGATGCTTTTGATGTTGCTAATTTTGGATATATAATGGAATAATACAGACTTGCCGTAAGGTATCTTGCGTAAATGTGCGAGTCTGAAAGCACGAGCGTCACGCCAGATGTGTGAGTTGGCAACCCTGTACCAGATCAAACGGCTGTGTAGCCTGTAACTGTGGTGACATTACATATTTCAGGTAGCCCCAAAAATGGGCAAATTCTTAAATTAAAGGTGGCGATGCATGATATACTATTAAAGTAGCAAATGAAAATGGTAGCAGACCTTAAACTCCCAGTAGGGCTGCTTCCTGGTTGGGGTGCCACCCCAGAGAAGCCAATTCTCAGGAGGCCCAACTACCACAGGGAGATCATGCAAACTCCACAAGTACACAGAACAGGGGCAAGATTTGAACCCCAACCCTGGAGATGTGAACTTCAAGCACAATCCCAGAGCCACCACACCACCAAGACCATGACACTCAAACATGCAGAATTAAAAGCAGCAACCAACCCTCTTCACTAAAAAATATATTCCTCACAATCCTCTCACCTGATGGAGGGTGACATTCATATCAGGCACAGACACTGTGCAAGGCACCAGAATGGTTGGCGATGATCTAGCGACAAGGATTGTTTCAAATTCATAGTTGTATCTTTTGACGAATGGCTCTTGAACATCTGAAAGAAAACAATTACTTAGCCACAAATCTTAGTCTGCATTGGTCACCAAGATATTTATCCGTTTGAAAAGTGTATTAATTGCAATGTCATCTTCTTGTGAAAATCTTGTGGGAAGTTGCCATGATAATCTGGTGTTATTGGACCATTAATTTTGTTTTTTAATTGTCAGCACTAGCAGAAATTCCCGCTGCTTCTCATCCATGTGTAGACGCCTGAAGTAATAAGAGTTAAATTCAACGTAACAACGAACCACCTTCAAACTTGGATAAAAAAATATACAAACTTAGAGTGGTGCCCTAACTAAAAGGTTGGGCCTATTCCCAACGGACTCGTAATGTTCTCACAACATTGCTGAAATGTTGCGAAAACACTTAGAAGGAGCTGGTGTCCAAGGCTTCTTACTCCTCACGGAGATATTTCAAAGCAGTCACTTCAAGCTTTTTGAAAGAAAACAGAAAGTCCTGAATATCAGCTTAGATTTCTGCCCTGTAGTGATCAGAGCACAGAAATGGTCACTGTGGAAAATCAAGCCCTTTGAGTCATAATAAATCATAGAATTTAAGGGGAGGTTCTTTTTTTCAGGAAGTCAGGGATACCTAAAACTCAAGACTTTGCACTCGGCCTTAATGGAGGAGGAAAGCGGGCGGCTTTAGAGCGACGACCTGCGGAGGCCCAGTCTGATAAATGAAGCCACATGCTGCCACTCCGATCCTGACGCGGACACATTTATCCCCTTTACTACGGTGATTTCAGCTGGTCCTGATCAGCCAACCTGGTAGGATCTATAGAAACTATTCTGGCACCTTGTCAGGGGAAATTTGGCAGGATTTTGGCAGCTTGGTGTCTTCGCATGTTGATTTTACCACCTGTCCCCCTGACACACTCACAAAAACCACGACCGCTGTGTCGACGTTGGCACACCAGGATAAATTTACTTCTGGTTAAAAAACATGGATGCTGTATGACAGGAACAAACTGCTGAGCGGATCACATCTGCATCCCCAACTCACAGGGTTGTAGTCAGTTAGTGCAAACAAATAATGAAACAATAAAGTGTAGCCAATATCAAATATATTATGCCAATAGAGCCTGAATGCTGTTAAAGCATTTTCACAGGAAACTAAGAATGTGTTCCACCTCTTCTTCTTGTAAAAAAAATTCTAAACAGTAAATACCATTGCAATAAAACCGGCAACGTGTTTCGGTGAACATTTTTTATTCCCACTTTTGAACTGAAATTATTTCCATTTATCTATTAGGAAAGAATCGTTTTTCTATACGAAAGCCTCCCGTGTTCTTTAAAATACAGCCAAGATTTTCCTAGCATAAAGGTATTTTTTGGAAGACTTTTAAATGTCAGTGATGTTACTGTAAATGTCAAGAAAAATATAAATATAAGACAGTGAAATTCAATATTTTCAAGGTGTGTTTGGTTTGAGACCCAAACTGTAAGCGCTTCTGGCTAAGACCTTAACGACCTGGTAACTAGCTTGGTTCAGTTCGTTTTTTTAAGGTAGCTCTAATTGCATTGAGGCTTTTTAGGTGCAGTTTTCTTCCCGTCTTCTGTGAGATCCCAGTACTTCGATTAGGCCACGTAAACACAGTGTCCGTCACACCCTTAAATCCTTCTACGCGGCTCCAGCGCTAAAGTTCTGAATGACTGCCCAGCTGAAATGAGCTATGCCTTCAGCATTGGCGTCGCTTATTGCATTTTACCTTTCTCATAACCAGAAGTGTCCTGTCTGCCAAGCAAATAAAAGCATCTGGCAAGTAAACAAACACAAATGTAGAAAACCAGCCACCGAGAAGCTTCACAGAAAAGACGGGTTTGACTGGGCCGCGGCCCAGATGGGATCCCCGGCGAACACTTCGGGCCCTCGTGCGGATCTGCAGCATCACGCAGGTGCTTTGTTGATAATTGTTAACAAGTGCTCATTTTCTATAATCGCTCTGTTCTTGCAGGCTAACGTTTATGAAACGTACTGAAAACAGCTGGCTGTTAATTTTTTTTACCTCATCCTATCCAATTAACTCTGTTTTCACTGGCTCCCTATAAATTTCCGTTTAATAGATTCACATGGTCAAGGCAGTGGAACGAGGGCTATTCTGATATGCAGTTCAGTTTTTGGATTCATACTTTTATGCCAAGTATATTTAGTGGTCAGTATTTTTGGAACATTTAATCGTATGAATGGCTTTATACCTGATTGGGTTTGAAAGCTCCTTAATTTTTATGTATTAGTCTTTGCAAAACATGACCAAACATAGAAGGAACCTCAGAAAATGTGGTGTTTTTATTTTTAAATTGTATTTATACATTTTTATATTGAAACCATTCTGCTAATTATGTGGTCCATTATATTTATACTTTGCTTTTCTGTCCCTAAATAAATTTGAGCATGCCATACCACTAAATGTTAATGAATCAATTCTTTATCATTTTATCCCACGTTAATTTCATATATTTACACGTGTTTGCATTTATTTATTTTGGGTATTATTAAAGTGTAGAGTAAGTTGCGTAGTACCTTAGTTTGTTCAAGGTCATGGCTGCATGTTATAAGCAACAAGAGAACAGTTCAGCACAAATTCCTTTCCAAGCCATTGTATAGACATACTCTACAACATACTTGTCACTCCTGAGTTCTTCCATTATTTGCCAGTTCATTTCCAGTTTGAAATATAACTTTTAAACAAGAATTTTTGAAAATGCTTCAATCATTTAAGATCTTATTAAAGGAAGAAATTCTCTAATTGTCAAAGCATATATGACTCACTGGCTTAATTTCACTTTTCTGTAGCTTAAATTTTTATGGAGCACCGTGCCGCAAATTCCACACCCAGAAGGGACATTTTATGAAGCTGACAACCAAAGCTGCTACACGATTCCTGCTGAGAACGTTTATTGACATTAGACTGGCCACAATTCTGCCCCACGATAGCGAGGACAGAGCAGTTTAAATGCTCCACAGTGGCTGTAGCTTAATATGCTGTAAATCCGGTTCAGAAAATACATGTGTGAGGATCAGAACTGTAAAAAAGGAATTTCAAACTGGATAGTTTGTTTCCATGTCGAACCACATGTGCTTCTTTGCAAAATAAACAGACTATTAATTTAGTTAAACAAGTAAGATGGTGAGTCGAGGCCTCTGGGCTAAATAAGACCTCAGAAATAGATGCATTTATTCCAGTCGACCAATATCTTCGCCACAATGTGAAGCTCTGTCTGCTTTTAGGGCCGATCATCCTGCAAAACCTTTAAGTGTCAAACCACTAGTATTCACACGGGGTATAAAAAGCCAGTGCAGAAGATCCAGATCCATCTCAAAATATACCATCTGTATTAATGCTCAATTCTTATCCCAATGGGTCACCAACAATAATCTGTGTCAGTGTTCAGGAATGAAGACTAATTCCCTGTCTGTTCCCCGGTATTTAGATAGAGGCCACGTTCAAGACGTTGTTCTAAAGACTTCCGGGGTGCAATAACTTGATTTAAAAAAATGCCTCAAAGCTGCCTTATGCTGAAAAATGACATTTTCACACATCGGTTGGCATCATGGCTGTCTACTTGGACCTACTTGACCAGGGAGCGAGTCCAGGTTTTGCCCCGAGTACGTGGAGTTTACATATTCTCCCTGCGTCATGTGGACTTCCTCTCATGGCCCAAAGACATGCAAAGAGGCTAATTAAGAAGCGAGGCAATCCATCACAGGGCAGGCTCATGCACAACGGCCAATTTAGCGTCTCCATCTTAGCTAATCACCTGTTTTTGGATTGCAGGAACGAGCATCCAGCTCTCCAAACATTTGTCTTTAGTTTATTTTGCCAGTATGCACTTCTTTCCAAAACTCACAATTTAATGGTAATTTCACACTCTAACTGAAAGCTTTGGAAGTCACATAAAAACATTTAGGCTACGTTCACACTACGCAGTTGAAAGTGACTCAAATCCAATTTTTTCCCTGAATGTGACTCAGATCTGATTTTTTCAGGACTGTGTGGACACACAAATCTGATCTTTTCAAATCATATTTGAATGACTTTCGTCTGTGGTCCTTGATCGGATACGTATCCGATTCGAGGCCAGTGCGACATAAATGGTCAGATCAAAATTCATGTGGTTTATATTTGTTGTCGGTGGTGCAGATCACTCATGCAAAAATGTATCAATGTGCACATGCAAACCATTTCGGAGAACAGATGCATTCACATTACAGTTAGATACCGGTCACTTGTAATCATGAATGTGAACTGTCAAGATCTGAGGGGAACCTCGGAATTGGACAATGAGGCTTGTAATGTGCACACAGCCTTAGTCACCAAACGTTAGACTCACCTCTAACAAAGACATAAATACTGACGGCAGTCGTGCCTTCAACGACGGCCTTAATGTCCCGGTAGAAGCACTGGTAGTAGCCAGTGTCCCTGCTCTGGGCAGAAGTCAGCACCAAACTCTTGCAGTACGGATTCCCAGATTCCCCCTGGCACTCCCTGATCCAGATGGCTCTGTGGTCTGGAACCAGCGAGGGCTTCAGCTGGTCCTGTCGATCTTGGACTTCCTGCTTGCTGAGGCTCTTCTCAGGCCAGGCCCAATCCAGAGTGCGCTGTCCCCTGGGCAAAGAGAGGTCACACAGAAGTCACACTTTTCTCTAAAACAGGGTGATTAATGCAGGCAGTATGGGTTGAATAATAAATGATACTTTTTTCATCGCATCATTTTCCCTCGTCGTGAGGGAACTTAAGCCTAAGAAAACATTAAATATTCCCTTTGTTCTTCAGGTTTCTGCTTTAAACGAATTTTGACAACTTCTATTAGGATTTTAACTTGAAAAGTCAATGTGTTCATTGCTGGAATATCTTCTCTACAGTATTGTGGTGGAGCAAACAATAAACAACAGCAAGAGAGTGGTTTCTCTATGTGTACATTACAATGGGCCCAGACTTTGAAAAAAAAAAAAAACAGTTTTCTGTATATTTTGCATATTTAAACCAACATTTATTGACAAAAAAACAAAAATATAGTATTTAGTTTCTGAACTCATACATCTTGATGTGATAAACATGTGTAAAATATCTTTAGATGCACATTTGTTCCAATAGGAAAAAATGAATATTTCCTTACATAAAATTTATAACATGCCATCATACTGTACATATGTGTTTGCATATATTATTTTATACATATATGTTTGCACATCATCATTTTTAATGTAAATGATTATTAATACAATATAATATGTAAAACAGGATAACATAAATGTAGCCATTTCATTTCACTGGTTCAGTATCAGTCGCATTTTACTTGCTTTCCATGGCTTTCTTGACGGAGACAAATAAAAAATTCTTTTTACATGCACTTTTGATAAATATAATTTAACAGTAAAGAAAAACATGTCATGTCATACCTGCATGTAATAGTTAATGTGTCATTGGCATTGATCAAAATGTCGTCCTTCTGGCTGTCGAGGGTGGGTGGTGTCATAGAATATCCAGTCACCAGACCTGCAGGGAAGACAGGTGGTCATGCTTTTTATATAAACAAAGTATAAACACCCTTTGAAGAGACCCATACCAGCAAATCCATCTGCTACATGGTTTACAGAGGCAAAGTGACCCATGAAGAAACAGCTCCACATCTCCTCTGACTCGGGTTTTCAGTGAAGCAGCTCTGCCGCTGCTCGTGTGAAATAACGGCTCCCCCATTTTTGCTTTTCCTTTAATGTCCGTAAAGCCATTAAGTTCTTGTGTGAAGCCTCGTTCGTTACTGTCACATTAAAAGGCATTGGCTAAGGTGTCATTAGCCACGCGCAAAACCCCTCAGGGCGTTATTATGTTGCGTCACGTTGTTCATAGAAAGTTTATAAATATATCATTATGACATGGCAGCTGGAGAGCATTAGAGTGGGAACTCTATTAACAAGACCATGGCAGAAATCCTAACATGATAAATAAGAAAAAAATGACCACTGTACATTTATTTAATAAAAAATGAGATTGAAATAACATTGTGAAAAGAGACAAGGTGGTAGGCCTAAAGCCATCAGTATGGCATAGCTAACACACTAATTATCCGCTGTTTAATATCAGAACCAAATTATGGATGATGTCAACATTTAATCAGCTGGCGATCATTCATCAAGTTCATACAGGCCGCATGTTTGTTGAAGAAGCCGGGATACAATGAGATAGATGTGAATTACAGTGTATCACAGTTTAGAGGGACATTGCTGGCTGCAATTAGATTGGAACCAAAGGATAGGCTGCGACGCTTCCTGTGCTTTCAACATACTGTTGCGTCACAGACCATACTGCTTCACTGACCATGCTGCTTCACTGACCATGCCACTTCACTGACCATACTGCTTCACAGACCATACTGCTACATTGACCATGCTGCTTCACTGACCATACTGCTTCACTGACCATGCTACTTCACTGACCATGCTGCTTCACTGACCATGCTACTTCACTGACCATGCCGCTTCACTGACCACGTGGCTTCATTGACCATGCTTCACTTGTGTCTCCATGGCTATGCAATGTATGTCCTCCTGAGATCCTTTTGTTCTTCGTTTTTGTCCTCTGTAAATGTTTTTTCTTTCATACTATACATGGCACTCTGTTAAGTCTTGTTTTTCATTAAAGAAGACAATTAGAACTTTAAGATGACATCACATGTGTGATGCTGTACTTTTTTACCATCTCAACACTTAATAATAAAAAAAAAAATCTAAATTACAAGAACAATCTCGGGAGGATATAACAGAAATGCAGTCAAAGCTATGTTTACGGTACTGTTTATCCTGATACACGATTTATTGCCATTATTTACATGTATCATGGCACACTGATGTCCTGGGGGATTGTTATCGTGTACCTGCATATGGGTGGTATGACAATAAAGCCCACTAGACTTGACTTGATACACATAGGTGGTGGCTTGCAGTTGTGCAGTGCTAGAGCTCATTGTTTCGGTATCTTTTAATGAATGCCATCCAGTTGCTATACTGTCCGTCCAACACAGATGCGCAGCAATTGAAGATCTTGCCATACCAAATTAGGAATGGGCTCATACACAGTCGTGACTGCAGTTAATGTTATACTATAGCAGAGATTAGTGTGGAGAATAATTCAAGAAGACAGCAGTGGAAACAAAACCTCCAGGAGAGGAGCTGAAGATTAAAAGAAATTCCGGATTCCCAGGCTTGTTTGTTTGTACCTATTTGTGAATTTCATGCTCTTCTGCCATATACAGAAATGGAATCTCCTGATGCCTGCTGATGTTTGTCTTACTGTCGGCTCCACTGTGTCATCAGAGGCCTGAATTGTGCTGTGCTCCTCCTTTAAAGGTTGAGTTATATACTGAAGAGGTCTGATTTTGCCTATAAATATCAGATGATGTTTAGGGTTTTGCGGGGCTCTAGTGACATTCTCTGCAAGCTCAATTTTAAAAAATCTCTCCCATTTTGCTGCAAAAAAGTCATCACATTCACAATGCTATCCATCCAGGATACTTTTCCTGGCAAGGGTCATGGTTCCCTTTAAAAATCACTTGTTTCTTTATCACAAAAGCCACCAGAATGGTGAACTTTAAAGCAAACAGATACCTGAAGTGCTTAAGAAAATGGTGGAGTAATCATACTCTGTCTTTTCCTAGCTGTCTCCTGTCAATAAGTGATCATGATAATTTGGAGAATATATTAAACTTGAAAACCTGGAATCACTGAAATCACTGGCTTCCCCTTGGGTGGCAAAAAATGGAATGTAGCAAAACTATCCATCCATCCATCCATCCATCCATCCATCTTCTAACTACTTTTTCTTGTTACGGTCGTGGGAAAGCAAAACTAGTTCACCTCCTTTTAGCTTAACAGAAGCCTTAGTAGATTCCTTGCATGCTTAAACTAATAAAAATTGCTCTGTGGCAAATAAAAGCACACTGTTCCAGATAGTGTTTTGTTTGTGAGTATTTAACTCAACTGTAAACCAATAACATGCAACTGTGATGATGACCCTGCTTTGGTCACCCAGCTGAACCATGGCAGGGTGTGATTGTCAGGGGTGGAGCATGACGTGACCATATGGACCAGTGGACCATCCAGCACATCATGTACAAAATCCAAAATGCTCATATGCATCACGTTGGCTTTCGGGCCCAATAGAGAACACACAAGCTTCTGTAAATATTTTGCGGTCAGCCGCAAACCTCTGTGTACACTGAGAGATGGTTCGGACGCTTGGACGTGTACCCAGGCCTGTGTTGGCAGTGCTATCTGGAACGTTCTTTGTCTTTTTTCCTAAACTTGTTGAAATACCTCAAAAACTCACTGGAAGACTGAACATCAAAGGGGTGAAAACAGAGGGAGTGGATGCGAAAATAAAATGGTGAACGGCTCTGCCATTTTCGAGGGGGAAAACGAGGCAGAGGAGAGGGGCCCAAAGTGCAACCCTGCTAGGAAAGAAAGCCAACAAAACAAAATATTTCTTTAGCAATAAAAATATCACTATATTTATATAAGTCCTTACACTTATTTTGTTTTACAATGGTGAATATACTTTTGAGGATTCTTGTGTTTTTAAGGCCATGTTTTATCATAACTTTAACCTTTTTTTTAACAGAATTTATAGTTGTATGTGATAGACTTTCGTATTTCTAAACGTAATGCCCGGATACAGCGTTATGATTTGCACGGTCACGGACACAGCAGCTGGTGATGAGCTCAGCTACTTCCTACACAAGTGCAAAAGTGCAGAGAGGCCCCGGGGCCCCAGTGGGAGGTGGCCACCGCTGACAGGGCCCACGCATGCTCTGGGAGACGTCCCTGACCATCTGGGACCTTTCAGGGGACACTTGTGGTATAATGGAAGCAAAAATGTGGACTGTCTGGCAGGAAGATGGGAGGGAGCAAAAACACGGACCGACAGTAGGTGCCCGAGGACCGGATTAGGAAACACTGGATGAGCCCATGCAGTGAATTCTGGAGTGAGCGCTCTCTCTCTCTCTCTCTCTCTCTCTCGCTCTCTTTCTCTCTCTCTCGTCCCTTGGCAGGGTAGGTTTCAGTTCAGGTTCTGTTACATAAATGCTTTACCCATGCATATTTAAGGAGCAGTAGGAACTAGTAGCAATGAATATTGGAGGCGTTGACCACAGTGCTAAAAGACCCACTCTGTATCTTAATTATTTTTAGCCCATTTTGACTTTTAAAGTGTGTAAACCTGCAAAATAACTCCATTACTATGAATTTTGAAATGAAGGTTTTTTTTTTTTTAAATCAGGGATCATCGGACAAGTGACAACTCTCTCACTTTTTGTCACCTGCAGGAGCTGACGCGATTGGAGGCCGGCAGGGATGACCGCGCGACCACCCCAGACTGCAGATTTGGTTGCAAAACAAAATGTTTTGGTTGTCTTTGTTTTTCTTGGAGTCTGTGCGCGATAACAGCGGCTTTCACAGTGAATGCTCTCGCAGTGCGCGGCAGGGGAGCTCCAGCAGCCACCGCGCCATTCGACGGCTCTCGGGGGTCTATCAGGCCGAGCTCTGGCCTCTGGGTCCCAGTGCCCACCTCCCTGGTCCCGGCCCTTTCTGAGGGACACTCCTGGCTGCCCTGAGCTGTCTAAACTAACAGTGGCTGACTGTTGGATGGCGGGCAAGGAAGTCCCCAACAAGATGGCTCGCACTTGCACTATGTTGAAGAGGGGCTTCCAACCTTTCTGAATAGCAATAGGGCTACTTTATTCACATCCATGGGAAATTCTCTTCTTGCCTCCCCCACCTTGCTCTCTATGAGACACACAGACGGGTGACAGCGAGCTTGGTCAGTCAGTGCAGGTCAGTCAGTGTGCAGCACACCCCCCCGCGCTTTGCTCAAGGGTCCAACGGACATGTGACATGATCACCAGCACATGCAGAGGGGCTTAACCTGCTGAGTCACACACAAACACGCCCTCGATGGTCATCACCAAAAGCATCATCCAGCCACTCAGCATGACATCATGGCTCTCTGCGACACCCCCGGCCCTAAACACCTTCTCTGCTATATTCCAGATTATTCTCTGACTGGCTCCACATGCTGAATGCTTTCCCACTTGACCGGAGTGGGCACTGGGCCAGGGAGGACCTCGTTCAGCCCTTAGAGAGCCACACTCTACTAACTGCATTGCACTCCAAAATACACACAGTTTTCAAAGCCCTATTTATTTTTACCACAAGCAAGAGGAATAAACCTTGTTGATCTGTTGATGTCTCTTATGAATGTGTATTGTTCTGTCACGGTCCAGGACAATTTTGATCCCACTTGTACAAATGTGTATTACTGGAACTTGAATATCGAATCCAAACAATAGTTCCAAAAAAAGTACAAAAGGAATAAACAAGAGCGAAATGAACCTTCCTATCACAGCCCCAACTTTGCATTTAACTAAAATGATCTGTAACTGTCATTTTAGATATCCGCTGCACAAATCCTGTAATCAAATTAAATCAAGTTACTGCATGTTAAAT